CATAAAAATCTGCCTGTAAAAATAAATGATTCATTTCTTTGAATTTCAGCAAAATTAAGTTTTGAACTTTAGAAGACATCATGAGAAAATGAAATGACAAGCCACAGACGGAAAATAATCTGCAGGAATTTGTACTGACTTACAAATCCTCATTGATTTGTTATAATTGATAATCTGATTTATAAATCATAAATAATTTCTCTTCATGTATATAAATAAGTATTCCGTAATAAAATGATAAAAACCCAATTTTAATTGGGGAGTTTTCATGAATAAATATTTTGCTAAAGAGAAGGTAGTAATTAATAATAAGCACATCAAAAATATTCAACATCATTAACCCTTAGAGAAAAGTAAACTTATACTGGAAGATAATACTTAATAATAGAGCTTCATAGTACTTATATTTTCTTCAAAGACAGATAGTAGCAAGTATTTGTGAAAATATGGAGCAGTTGGCACCTTCTCACTCCGTTGGAGGGAATACAAAATAGAAAAGTCAGTTTCAAAAGTGGTTGGAAAGTTCTTAGAAATTAAAATTGACCTACTCTAAAGACAAAGTAGTTCCACTTCTAAGTATCTCATAAGATAAATGAAAGTTTAGATCCACACAGAGACTTGAAAGTGGATGTCCATGACAGCTTTACTCACAATAGCCAAAATCTGCGAACAATCTAAATGCCCATAATGGTTATAAAAATGTGGTGTAGTATACAGATGTACAAATGCCCATTAATTCATAAAGAAGAATCACCACATCACAGATAAATCTAAAACTATATGAGCAAAAAAGAGCCACATAAAGAGACTACATATTGTATGATTTAATTTTTAAGAAACGCCCAGAAAAGTTTTAGAGACCCACTATATCTATATGTACCCAAGTTAGAAAGAATAATTTTTGGTGGTCCTGCCCAATATTATAAGGGTCCACCTTTTGTGTTCATCTCTGAGACTCATAAATTCATTCTGGTTGTAGGAAAGCTTTAGACAGATTTAAATTCAGTAACATAACACAAAGTACTTGACATTGTTCAAAACCATGAAGGTCAGGAAAAATAAGTAAAGAATAAAAAAATTGTCATAAACCAGAGAAGACTAATGATACATGGCAAGTCAATGCAGCTTGACATTCTGAATTGGATTCTCACAACAGAAAACAGGGTATTAGTGGAATAATTGGTGGCATCTGAATAAAGTCTGCAGTTTCATTAATGTTTTTTTTCTGTGTTAATTTCTTAGTTTTGACAAACTTACCATAGTTATGTAAGATAGCATTGGAAGTTAGTGAACGAAATATGGGAACTCTCTGTTCTATCTTTGTAGCTCTCCCATAAATCTAGCACTGTTCCAAAATAAAAAGTTAAAATAATAAAAAACGAAAGGGCAATTCAGAGATCACAGGCAAGTTATCAGAGCATGCATGGATCTTTCGATCTTGATTTATGTTAACCACCTATGATAAGGAGAGAGAGAAAGAGAGAGAGAGAGATTATTTGATATTAACATTTAGTAATATTAAAAAATCATTTGATTTCAAGTGTGAAAAAAGCAAGCTATGTTTTTGTGAAAAGTTATTTTTTAGTAATGCATATGAAAGTATTCTTGAATGCAATAATGACTAGTTTTGTCTTCTAAATGATCTGGTAGAAGAAAAACTAGAAGGGACATGTGTGATGAAGTAGTGAATGAATGATGTGTTAGGTGTGCAGGGAGGTCCCCTTACTATGCACTTGACACTTGTTTTTGAGAATTTCCACAGTGAAAAAAAAAATTCAAGAAAATAGAATTTAATACCAAAGTTTCAATATTAGCCTTCTGTGCTAACCACAGTAAAACGTTGTATCTTTTAAAATCAAATATGAATAGTGTCAAAATGAATAAGTCATAGAGAATTGACTGAACTCTCAGAAATAACCTGAGCAAGATATAATCAGGGCTGAATAGTTGGGAGAGCATTAAGAGAAGTTCTTGAATTAACAGACCCTCCTAAGCTGGAGTACTTTTTGTTCTTTCCTTGAAGTTCTGTGGCCTGATCATATCTCAGTTCCTATCTCTGTGAGGATCTGGAAATGAGGTAGAATGTGGTCAGAAGCAGCGTTTGTTCCTACTCAGTGTTAAGATCTGTGTTCCTGCACCACTTTTCACGTCTTTTGTTGTTATTTGACTAAGGACTTTGCTTGTGGCCTTGTGACTCAAAGGGTAGGTTACTGTACAATACAGCTTTTGCTACTTCGCTCCAAGTCCATGCAGTGTCTAATGTGAAATGCAGAGCTCCTTTGCTAGGGAATCTGTGCACAGGGACTCAGCTTCCAGGCTATGCAGTCTGCATTGATCACCAAGCTGTTCCTCAGTGTGCCATTGGATGTTGACTATAATCTATAAATCTTCTCAAGTATTTTTTTCTGATTAGAGAAGTATAGCACTGGTTGTCAATTTTAATAATGACTAAGACTAATTTTTTAAGAGTTTGGAAACTGAAATGTCATGAGTTTATTCTTACTAATGACACATGCTGTGTAAACCTATTTGAAGGTGCTTTCTGGGTACAGTTGTGAGCATGAAACAAAACAAACCTAAACAGTGTAGATAGCAGGGTCACAATAACATCCTGTCATAATTTTCTGTGCCTGCCTTCAAGCGATTTCTACCCAAATACTGAGCGCTACCACTCAGTGACAGAGTTAATGATTTGTTCATGTGGCAGTGAAGAGGAGCAGTATTCATATCAAAGACAACTGGTCCCATTTCCAGGTCCATATTTGGGCCAAGATATGTAGTCGCCAACAGTGAGTTGGCGACTGTATTTTTTGAGTCCTGGCGCAAAGCAAGATCCATCTGTTTTGCCCAGCCGTTTGCCTGAGTGCCACAGAATGGTCCTGTTATTAGGCTTATTTGTGGTCCTATTTGAGGTTAGGTATAATGTAAATAAACTTCAGTCCTCCTTGTGATGAATGCCACATACGAATTAAAATGGTGGTGGTGGTGGTAAGTGATGCTGTCTCTATTTTCTCAATTGTTCTGTATTCTTTGGACTGGGAAACAGACATTTAAGAATGAGTTTGTCATCTGGAAGGATAGTTGTGACCAAGTTTTCCTCAACAGGATACAAGATGTTATTTTTGAGCTTCATTACCCTCACCAAAGGGAGAAAGAGAGAGGGGTGCAGGACAAAGTAGGGAAGAAACAGGCAGAAATGGAGAAAAAGCAAGTCAAAGAAGGCAAGGAGGAAGGGGGCGTGTGACTAGTACACTGAGTCTTCAGAACTAATTTTATTATCTTGAATAGTTTGATTTACTCTACATCTGGTAAACTGAAGAAAAAATAACTGGGTTTTGAAAGATTGGACTGAACTGCTGGTTGTCAGTTACACAGTCAGTGTGTGTGTATTCAGCCTGGTTTCTTTTACCTTTTCTTGTCTGAGGCCGACCAGTGGATCAGTTTCACTAACCATATTTTATTAGTGAGTAGAACAATACCAGTTGGTGATTCAGGTTTATCTAGAACTGGGCATTTCTTTTTGAGTTTCTGAATCACTTATAAGAGGTTATTGGTATTCCATATAATTTTTGAGCACAGTTATTTTTGTCAGTGTCTCTCATGAGTGTTTTGTTGCCTTATAAGGATATATGTGCTCTCCCCTCCTCTCATTCAGTTGTCCCTGGTGACGCCTCCATAATTTCTGACTTTACACTGGTACATTTTTAGTCTAATTCAGGCATTTGAGAAGCAGAGAAAAAGTTTAGTTAGTCAGTCAGTAATTTTAAAAAATTCTAATCCCATTCATGAGTGGATTTAGTATGAATTGTGAAGAAGTTCTCATTTAAAATATATGTACATCAAATAGGCACATTATCCAAATTATTCTTCCATATTATTTCAAAGGAAAAGGAAAACAGGATTTGCAAGTGAGAACCAGATGCATTTTCTAATAATAGGTGCTATTTCAGGGGTGATTTATGATTATGATCTCATATGTGAAAACATTAAAATATTACTTTGCAGTATGTGAAGTTGGACATAAACTTACCACAATCAGTGCTACAAATATATATTTTAAAATACTGCTGTAAAGAAGATAATTATAATAGCTCCATTTTGCATTTAAAAATATCTTTTTCTAAATACTAATGTGTCAGTTATTTGAAGCTAAAAATAGACATGACTTAATGTAGTATGTGTGTGGCACTTTTTATTATTTTTATAGATGATAGTGTTTTTAAAGAAAAGATTGAAGAACATAGTAAGATGTTTTAAGCCCAAATATGTGTGATACAGTTGGAAATATTAACTTGTAATTGGACACTCTAAGGTACGTGTTTTTAAACCTGACAGTTAAACTAGGAGGTCTTATTCAAAGCCCCGTGATCTTCTGTCTTTGCTACTGGCTGATGGGACAGGAAGTACAGCATGGTACAGGGCACACAGAACTCATTACAGTGGCCATTTTGTATTGTTAAGTGTATTTACTTACCTCCCCAGTTCAGTCATTTGAAAGCAGTAAATCTAGCATTGTTTTTCCAGTTTCTTGAAGTCATAATTTTTCTTTAACATGTACATTCAGATCCATAGACTTTTCTGCTTTATTCTCTGAGCTTAATAATTTCTATACTCTTTACCTTGGGAAATTCTTGTTTAGGAGACTTCTTTTAAAAATTACTCATATTATAGCTAAAATCCATTAGCAATAAGTTTCTGTTCATATCACTGTGAAGTCCTTAACATAGAGGAATATTGTTTTTCAGAATTGCTTCCTCCTCCCTTTAGATTTTTTTCTTTTCATTACAAAACTACACTGGGAAAAGGTTTTTTTTTTTTTTTTCTTTATTTCTTTCCTTTTTTTTCCCCCATCCCTTAACAGGAACGGGGGTGGGTAGCGCCAGCACCGCTTGACTGATAATGCATTGCTTTGGATGGGGAAACATTATGAAAGTTTAATTTTTAATTAAATCTGAAATACCAATTATAACTGAAAGAGATTTTAACCTGTTTCTTTTCAGACTGCCTGAAGTTACATTTTGAGACTGAAACCATCGTACCCAAAAACAAAAGATTGAACTGCACTGTGTCCCTGTAAGTGGAAGCTCCCTGTACCTTCCTCTGTGCTTCTGTGACCAACCCACAAAGGGACAAGAACCATTAGTCACATAGTAACCAGGCATGAGTAAAATATGAATGCCTCTGAAGAAATACATCTTTAAATGATTTCCTTAAAAAAAAAAAGTGATTGAACTCAATTTTTAGTGTGCCTTTTATTCAACCGAAATTTTGAAGCCTTTCTTTTAGCTGGTTTGAATTTCATTAGGGAGGGTGTCACCCATTGTGCATTAGCACAGTGACACACACACCCTGTTTGGAGAGATTTATGCATTTTTATACCAGACTCTTAGGTAAAAGATTTCTTTTGAATCAAAGTAGATTTTGTTTTATTTTGTGATGTCATTAGAAATTTTTAGGCTTTGTGTCAAATGGGAAGTTCATGATGACATCACAAGATTCTATAGCCTTGAAGACTTTAGGCACAACTAAGTAAAATGCATAATTTCCTTGTGTGCGTGTGTTCCTCATTCTGCTCTGAAGCAGTCAAAATAGCACATCTTATGTCTTCCCGTGAGCTACAAGGCTGTCTCTCAGAGCCCCATTGTTCCATAAATGCATGTCAGAGTCTACCACAGTCTGGTCTACCCTTATTTAGCTGCTGTTTTGTCAATGTACTTGGAAGAACAATTAACATTTGGGATTTCAATGTCTGAATAACAGGGACTGAATAGAACTGGAGCATATAAAAGATTCAGACGCCCAGGGTAAGAAAAGAGAAGCTTATAGTTGGTAGAGGAAAGAAAGAAAATCATTTTAGTGCTGCATTTAAAGGTTGGGAAACACTATAAGGAAAGTTGATCTTTTTCATATTTTAGATCAAATTGTACGTTTTAATAATAACATCCAGAAGTTTATGATATTTTCCGAAGTTTTACAGTTTAATGTCTTTTGCTAGATGAGTTTTAAAACACTAAACCTTCTGTTGGGACGCCAGATGTGGGGTAGCCTCACTGCAGTGCAGCCTTTGCAGTGCTAGTCCCTGTCCAATAGAGAACAGTAGAGGTGATTCAGACTATCGCCTTCATTTTCATGTGCTTCACGGCATTCTCAGTAATGACTTGATACAGTCCTGGAGGTGTTTACATATCTGCTGTTTGTCTGAGTTCTAATTATTTTATTATTATTATTATTATTATTATTATGTTATTATTATTATGAGAGATGAGACAGAGGGCACTGTGGCAACTTAGGTTTGTTGACAACCTGGTACAATTCTTAACTGGCTTGAATTAATATATGATGGTTGCTAGTTTTGTCATGACTACAATAGTTCAAGCCTAAAGACAATAAGAGTAAGGACTTGTTCCTTTTTATAATCTTCACCACTTGGCACAATAATAGATAATCAAAAAGTAGCTATTGTTTAGTACAATTATAAAGTTTTTAAAAGCCTGAAATTTTGGGAAGATTTATCATAAAGAAAGATAGAATTAAGTGTTTGGAAGTTAACAAAATGATTGTAAAGAAAACATTTTGCCAAAGACCAGTCTTTTGTTCATACTAGACTGAACATCAGCCTCTTTTTGCTTTTGTCACCTTGCTGTATACTTTTTTCTCTAGCCAAAATGAAAAGTTCTTTATGTCCTTTTAGTCTGTGAAATGATCTTCCATAGTTTTCCATATAAGTTCCATGTTATAACTCATATACTAGATTTGACCCCAGCGATAATCCACCTGGATGGGGATGATCAGCCACCTCAATTTCTCTTGTTGCTATATAGTGCATTGTGTTTCAGGGAAAGAAGTTAGGTGCCACAATAGGTATTGGGTCAAGAGGCTGTAGTCTTGCAAAGTTACTGTGAGCAGACACTACTTTCACTGTACAAAACTTCAGAACCAGTTCCTCCACACCAGTGAGACTGTAGTATTCTGTAGACCTCATCTTTTTGACCTAATGTTTTCTGCCAAATGCCCCCCAACTCTTTAAAATGTGTTTCTAAAAGAGATCCTTTCATTTTTTTTATAAGATCATATTCCAGTGATAGAAACTAATGTGCTCATTAAACTTTAGAGAAAAACTGAACTGAAAAAGTTAGGCCTAGTGAATTGTGCTGTTGTGACATTGAATAACATTTAAGACCATCAAAGATAATCTTAAAATTTCACATTTTAAAGGTTGAAAACTAAAGTGAAAATGCTTATAAGGGCAAAATCATCATCATCATTATAGCAGGAAAGTAAAAATTGGAAGTTCAGTCACCTCATTTTGAAATAAGTTGAGGCACAGGTAGTGCATGCAATTACACAAGCCATGTTGGTCACAAAGGCAGATCATTCTTAGACCTCTAGACCTGAAAGAATCCCCGCATCTGGATGTCAAGGCTTCCCTCTTTCCTCTAAGGTCATAGTGTAGGCATTGCTTTCTGAGGAAAAATTTCCCTTTGAATCATTTTTTTATAACTGTTTAACTTGTTAACCAAATAGTATAAAATTTCTGAATAAAGGAATAATCTTAAAACATTGTTTTCAGAAACTTTAAAAAATTTTTCCTGTACATTTTGATACTGTGCCCTTGGTTGTCCCATACAGACAAATTTGTTGGTTCATTTAATATTCATTATGGTGATTGACAAAGAAGATCCACTAGAAAGTTCAGTAGTTTAATTGTGCCTAATATAGGTGTCTGTAATCTGAAGCTCAGTAATCTGAAAAGAGCCATTGTGACGTGGAATTCATTTTTCCCAAGAGTGTGTATCATGCATGTTATCAGAATGTCACTGTAGTCTGCAGTTATTTCTATCAGAGAAGCTTTGGAAAAAATGAAATTGTTAAACAATATAAAATGAACCACTCAGCATGATAATTTATTTTGCATTGTCTTTATAATATAAGGGGTATAAGAACTTTTCTATTATTTTACCCAGAGCCAAATCCTAGATGCATTTTAACTTGCTTCTCAGTTTTATTTAATCACTCTTACTCTTTCCCTTCCCCATCAAGTTAATTGCCTAAGTCTTCTTTATGACCAAAGCATGAAGAAACAGTTATTCCTTTAAAATTTTCCATGGAAGTTTTTAGCATATAGAGAAGAGGGAAATTGAAGTAAAGTACTGTCAGAGAAGAACCTCAGATACAGTATTCAATGAAATTCTCTCCTCAAACTGCTTCTCTTTTCACTATAATAACTAATATTTATTCTATGCCTCCTGTGAACATAGCATGTTACCTTATAATTAACACCTATTTTCTATAATTAAAGAGGTTTTAATCTATTTGGTAAATAGATGAATCCTTATGTGTATGTTTATATGTGTACGAGGTGTTATGTATCTGCTCATGTGTTGTGTGTACATTGTACATGTGGAGACCAGAAATTGTCATCAGCTGTCTTTCTTAGTTGCTCTCCACCTTCTTTTTTATTGAATCTTTGTGCATTTCAAACATCTTAATCATATTTAGACTCCTTCCCCTAGCTGCACCCCACATAGCCCCCCCCCAAGATTTCATGCATTCTGTTATATATGTTAAGGTCTATCGAGTCAAGTTTGTGTCCACCTTCTTTTTTGAGCCAGGATCTCTCAGTGAGTCTTGAACACACCTGTTTGGCTAGTCTGAATGACCAGTGAGCTCCAATAGCCTCCTGTCTCTGCCTTCCCAGTGCTAGAATTATAGGCTCAACAGTATAGGATGCAAATATAGTCCCTCGTGCTTGCACAGCATACACTTTACAGACTCAGCTGTCTTCTCTAGATGCGTCTTCCTTAATGAATACAATGTTACATGTGTACAGGCCAGGATGTAAATTATTATCACTTTATCTGGGCCATCAAGACATAATATGATTCATACAGTAGCATGCAGAGTGAGTAACACAAAAAAACTGAAGAAGTAAGTTGTATTGCTATAATTTTATTGTAGGATCCTTTTTGAGACCAGTGCCTGAAAAGAAACAGGTAAAAGAGAAGCAGAATGTGTGAGAGGATCAGTTGCCAGAGCATGAGTTATCACCCATTAATAGGCCATAAAGTCAGCATGGTCAACTAAAACAAAATCTAAAGAAAATATTAAAAGACAATGTACTGTCACATTTAGATGCTAGATTAAAAAAATATACTTACTTATTGGAAAATACAAAAGAAGTTTGATACGGTTTGAACTGGTGATAACTCACAAACTTATAACTCTAGGTCTGATATTTCTCTAAACCCCAGTTCAATATCTTCAATGTCTATGTTCAAATATTAAATTTGAGCCAATTGTGGTAGTTCATGCCTTTAGTTTAAGGACTCAGGAGGGAGAGGCAGGCAGATCTCTGTGATCTGGTCTACATAGTGAGTTCTTGGCTAACTGAGACCATATGGAGACTTTCTCTTAAAAAAATACCAAAATATATTTAAATAGAAATTACATAGGTATATTAGTTACCTTTTCTCATTGCTGTGAGAAAACTAAGGAAGGAAGGGTTTTATGTCAGTTCACAGTTTAAGGAGCAGGTTCATCATAATAAGCAGGCATGGCAATAGGAACATGGAATGGCTATTTTTTGTCTACAGTCAGAAGCAGAGAGAAATGACTCTTCTGCTCTTTTCCTTTTCCCATTTCATTTTCCCTGGGTCCCAGCCAATGGCGTGGCACTGCCCACATTAAAAATGGATCTTCCCTCCTCAGTTCATTCTCTCACAAATATCCTCACAGATAAGCTCAGATGTGTGTCTCCTGGGTGATTCCAAATCCAGTCAAGTTGACAATGAAATTTAACCATCTCATTCATTTCTCAGACTCAATATCTCATAAGTGAATTGTCTTAGTTAAGTGTTAACCTCATTTTATTATTGTAATTTTTTTAAAATTTTCTTCATCTTAGTTTCAATGCAAAATATTTTATTCTTGCTTCTTCCCCCTCATAGATATTCAGGAAATGGCCAGGTCTTGTGATTTCTCCTTTAATAATATTCAAATCTGGTTTTTATTCTGTTTTCTCTTGCCTGCAAAAATCTGCTAATTAGAAATAACTTGTTGCATACAGATCAACT